CTGCAGGAACACTGCAGGTGGCAAGCCTGCGTAGGCATGCAGGACTCAGTGGTGTGTGAGGCTTATGCAGCCTGGGAAGCTCCGGCTCCCACTCAGGCCTGGGCTCACGATCCACCAGCCATGTGGCCTCCAGGGACCATAGGAGTAGCTGCTACTGACCAGTGCTTAGTGTGAGCGGCTCTATTCTCTGCGCTTTCTGGAACCAACTCATTTGGTCCTTACGAATACCGCTTTGAGGCAGGTGATGATATCCCCATTTTGCATATGAGGAACTGAAGCAAAGAGAGGGCAAGAGGCTAACAAGCGGCAGAGCTGAGATCTGTCCTCCAGCCACACCCTCAGCACTCTGCTGCCCCCCATTCAGCTTCTCCGAGACTCAGATTCTTCATCTGCAAATGAGAGCAGCAGTCGTCCCCACCTAAGAGAGTCACATAAAGCCCCTGGGAGAATGTGCCTAAGACAGTGTCTGGTAAACATGCGCTGCTTCTATGGTTGTTATCCTTAGTATTATTATTTCTAATCCTACTACAATCCCAGTCCTCACCAGGGAGCCCCTGCCAGTGCAGGGCTCTGTGCTAAGCACTCCAGCGGCTACAGAGATGACTCAGCTGCCCCTGCAGGCCTCCCGGGGAGCTTGTCATTCACCAGTCAGCACAGTGCTCGGAGGGCTTCAGTATACAGACACGATGAGGGTAGTCACTGCACGCAAGGCACTCATAGCCGGGGGTGGGGGGACAGCCAGTAAACAGACCGTTACAATTGAGGGGTGATTATGTTATGGTGTTAGCAACTACACAATGATAACTAAAATACTATGGTGAGAAAGGACAAAGAATATATTCCAAAATGGGGGAAAAAAAAAAGTATACCATTCAAAAATAAATAAATTAAATATACAATTCAGTGTTTTTTAGTATATTCATAAAGTTGTGCAGCCATCGCCATCCAATTTTAAACATTTTTGTCACTCCAAAGAAACCCTGTGCCCCTTAACAGTCACCCCCCGTTTCCCCTCCTCCCAGCCCCAGGCAACCACTAATCCATCTTCTGTCTCTCTGGATTTGCCTTTCTTGTATAAATGGGGTCTTACTGTGTGGCTTTTGTGACTGGCTTCTGTCACTGAACGTAATGTTTTTGGAGTCCATTCACATTTAGCATGAATTGGTCCTCCATGCCTTGGTGACTTTGTGTTCCAAGTGGATTGGAAAGATCATAGTCCTGAGATGTCCTCTCCTTGTGAGTCGGAAGGACAGAAGGTTCTGAGGCAGTTGGCCCATCCCCTTCTCACTAACAAGGACACCCTGATGACAAATGCTGCTTTTAAACATTGCTGATGTTTAGAAACTGTAGCCTAATGGGCAGTGGGCCCGAAGCCACTGTGTGTGAAGGGCTGTTGGCAGGACGAAGCTAAATAAACAGGCTGAGCGGAGCAGGGAAGCAGAGCAGGCCCGCTGGGACAAGGGGCTTCCTTTGTGTCATTCTTGGGGGTGGTTTCTTTTAACTCCTGTTTGGCAGGGGGATCTGACAGTCATTTCTGTACCCTGAGTAAAGCGATGGTCTCTGTGATGAGGTGAGCAAGAGGGTCCATGGGGTATGTAGGAAGAAAATATCACAACTTCTATAATTTTTTTCTCTACCTTTTAAATTATATTTTCTGTACAAGTTTTATAATGTACTTACCATGTAAGTACGGTGTCGTATGACTATAATGTTAAAATAAGTAAATACACATATATTGGAAATGTATGTGCAAACATATAGTGGTGTACGTACCAAAACATCGGAGACCTCTGGTCTAAAGAAATATTTTTAAAAATATGAGTGACTTAACACTAAAAAAACAAACAAACAAACAAAAAAACAAAAAAACCACCTCCTGAGCTGTTAACACAGCTGATACTCAAAAGAAGTTCATTTATCCGTTCAGACATCCTTTTGGCCTCCTGCCACCTTCCAAGCACAGTGCTGGGCACTCTGGGGTTCAGAGAACTGGACTCCCTGCTCATGCTTGGCAGAGTTTAGCAGCAATATTTAAAAACACCTGCTTTGGTATATCCGCACAGGTGGTGAGCAGTCCATGAAGGGCTACACACAAAAGACCCAATACAAACGATACCTTTTCACCGTGTAAATCACTGGCTTGGCTCTGGCCGTGTTCCCTCCCTTCTTTCTCAAACCGAGTCTTCTGGGGTTACAAACTGACTTTCAGGGTCTAACTCCCCGTTTTTCCCTGAGGCTCCCACACGCCCTTGTTCACCATCCGCAGGCTCCATGACAGTGGTGACAGTCAAGGCCGTGGCCGGAATGCTTGTCTTGTCCATTCAAGGGAACCTGCAGCTCGACTACCCCATCTTCTACGTGATGTTCGTGTGCATGGTGGCAACCGCCGTCTACCAAGCCGCGTGAGTTGCAAATTCTTTTCTTGCTGGCCCTCGCCATTTGGGTCCCTTCCATCTTGGGGGCCTGATTACATTTGTTTGTGGAGCTGTAGGGAAGGCAGGAACTCAGATCACCAGGGTTTGACATCCAGCGTGGAGAGAGAAGCGTTACTAATTGGCTGAGTCTTCACATGGAGGAGGGCTGTGCTGCTTGACCTTGACTGAGGAAGCCAGGGGTGGGTGTGGTTTTTTTACCCTCTGCCTCAGAATGTGAGAAATGCGTGGTTGGAGAAGGCCTCACTTCCCATCTTCTCCAAGGCAGGTGTCCGTCTGGGACCTCAGAATGTTTGCCGTCCCTAGGAGGCACCTATTTGTCCACTGGGTGGAAAATAAAAATTGTCATTTCTTATCATCAAGTCATTTCCCCCAGATCGTCCCAAGTAGAAGGGTAAGGTGCTCCCTCCTCTCTCTAAGCAGAGCAGTGAGGGCACGGCCTATGTCTTGTTCCCGTCTGAGTCCGGTGCCCAGCAGAGGGTCTGGGAGGAAGGAGGCACTGCAGGAACACTGCAGGTGGCAAGCCTGCGTAGGCATGCAGGACTCAGTGGTGTGTGAGGCTTATGCAGCCTGGGAAGCTCCGGCTCCCACTCAGGCCTGGGCTCACGATCCACCAGCCATGTGGCCTCCAGGGACCATAGGAGTAGCTGCTACTGACCAGTGCTTAGTGTGAGCGGCTCTATTCTCTGCGCTTTCTGGAACCAACTCATTTGGTCCTTACGAATACCGCTTTGAGGCAGGTGATGATATCCCCATTTTGCATATGAGGAACTGAAGCAAAGAGAGGGCAAGAGGCTAACAAGCGGCAGAGCTGAGATCTGTCCTCCAGCCACACCCTCAGCACTCTGCTGCCCCCCATTCAGCTTCTCCGAGACTCAGATTCTTCATCTGCAAATGAGAGCAGCAGTCGTCCCCACCTAAGAGAGTCACATAAAGCCCCTGGGAGAATGTGCCTAAGACAGTGTCTGGTAAACATGCGCTGCTTCTATGGTTGTTATCCTTAGTATTATTATTTCTAATCCTACTACAATCCCAGTCCTCACCAGGGAGCCCCTGCCAGTGCAGGGCTCTGTGCTAAGCACTCCAGCGGCTACAGAGATGACTCAGCTGCCCCTGCAGGCCTCCCGGGGAGCTTGTCATTCACCAGTCAGCACAGTGCTCGGAGGGCTTCAGTATACAGACACGATGAGGGTAGTCACTGCACGCAAGGCACTCATAGCCGGGGGTGGGGGGACAGCCAGTAAACAGACCGTTACAATTGAGGGGTGATTATGTTATGGTGTTAGCAACTACACAATGATAACTAAAATACTATGGTGAGAAAGGACAAAGAATATATTCCAAAATGGGGGCATTGTTTATCATAGATAGGGATAATAGGAATGACTCAAATTTTCTCTCTTTTTCCTTTATTTATTGCAGTGATCACATTATTTTCAAATTAAGAAAATTTGTCTAAAAGAACAGTTACAACGCTAGGCAGAATGATAAGTGCTGTAAGAGTTTCTTGGGCAGGGGGTGTATAAGAGACCCAGGAATGGCTGTTTTTAGTGGGATGAGGACACAGTGAGGAGAAGAGCATTTCAGGTGACAAGAACCATGGGGTCAAAGGTGTGAGACCAGGAAGGACATGGTCCAGTTGGGAAATGGGATGGACCTCAGGCTGTGTCTAGGGAAAGAAGGGAACCAGGCGTGGACCCCAGACCAGGGACACATGGTGCCCTGGAGCATGAGGATGGCATTTTTATGAACCCAAGGAATATTCCTTCATGTACCATCTTCATATTTCAAACCAAACCCTACTGCCATCAGCTTGAGCCTTAGCCTTTCCAACATCCCCACAGCCCCCTGACTGGAGTGCTTTTGTGTTGAAGGTTTTTAAGTCAAGCCTCACAGATGTATGACTCTTCTCTGATTGCCAGCGTGGGCTACATTCTGTCTACCACTGTCGCTATCACAGCAGGTAAGGTGGCCAACTGCTAGATTTCTATCTTCTACCCTAGCAGGGCATTATCCAGGGTGGAGGGAGGGGGCTCTGCCGCATCTGTGGGCCGAGTCTGCTCGCTTGTTCTGCTTGTCAGAGTTATATATGGTTTCATGGATTTAGAGGATTTTCAGGATTTAGAGCCAAAGAGGCTGGTTTTGCAGCCCCACACAGACACACAGTTGCTGTGTGGCTCTGGGAACATCACTTAACCTCTCTGAGCCTCAGTACCACATTTATAAAATGGAAGTAATAACACTCACCTCCTAGAATTGCAATATATCCAATCAGAATGTCTCCTACTCCATACCATGTGCTCTTAATAATGTTTGCCATCATCTGCCAGCTCCACAACTGCCACTGGCCAAGTGACCACACATCTCTTCTGCGTGATTTCTAGAGATCATAGATGCTCAGAAAGCAATCGTTATTGTTCTCATGTTCTTCTAGTCTACCCCTAAATTTTTATTTTCTTTCTGAGGTGGCTTTAGAGGCTGCAAGCATATCAAAGAGTTTGTTGTTTATTTTTTATGAGGACTAAAATCTTCAAAGTAACAAGTCCGATAAGAACCAAGGACTTGTCTCTGAAGAAGGCCTGGCTGTCAAGCCACATACTCTGCGTAACACTTTAGACAAGCAGGGCCCCAGTTCCCATTCACAGAGGTGGGAGCAAGCAGGCTCACAGCCCTCCAGGGCCTGCGCTGTGAGCGGTACCCAGGGCCGTGGGGCACTGACCTAGAGCAGCCAGAATTTAAGCTGCGTCACAGTCAAGAACATTGGCCAGGAGGAGTGCATACCAGCCAGGGTTAGAAGGAATAGCAAACACCATGGTGGAGTCAGAAACAGAAGTCATGGCAGGGAATCAGGAGCTCGGGGAGACAGCACTGGACCCATGGAGGTGAAATGACTCCAGACAGAGGCTGGCTCAGGGCAGGGCCAGCCCACGCCACTCCCATGCCACAGGAGTGGACCGCAGGCTTGGCACCTGCCGGCCACGTGAGGTTAGAGAACTCTAACAGCATAAGCACAGAGCCTTGTTTATCCATCTTAAGAAGATGGGAAAGGAACGTGCAAACACCGCTAAATGCGGTCTGCGCTTTAGTTGGTAGCAATGTTTCGTTGTTGTTTCCCTGGCTTTGATCGTGCACTGCGGTTATGATATGACTAGGGGAAGCTGGAGGAAGGGTACATGGGGACTCTGGACTGTTTCTGTGAGTCTAATATTATCTCAAAATAAAAGTTTTAAAAAGAATCAAAAGATGGAGATCACTGAGGCCCAAGAGGGGAAAAAAGAAGACAACCTGTTCCCCCCAATGGCTTTTGTTCTATTCTTCTAATATTTTGCCAGGCATAGTCATAATACTCTTTGATCATTTTGGTTTCCTGCAGGGACGAGAGCTTAGCCAAATCCTAGACAGACTGGCAAGTGGGCGATTTGAAAACAGCTCATGAATATTTTTTATTATTTGCTGCTGCAGGCGCAATATTTTACCTGGACTTCATCGGGGAGGACGTGCTACACATCTGCATGTTTGCACTGGGGTGAGTTCCGTCCTGCTGGCTGGCCCTGGGGCGTGGCAGGTCAGGTCGCCTCCCTCCCCGCTACTGCTGCAGCTGCTCGGTCCTTTAGAGTCAGGGAAGCTACTGGGCTTTGGAGCTTTGTCCCCAGAGGTGAGCAGTTTACTCCCCAAAGGGCTTTATCTCCTTCCCCTTTCTTCTCTTTTCGGCCTTAATCTCCGTGGCATTTCTAAAATATCACATTTTGATACATGAAAAGACTCTCAACCTCACCTCATATCTAAGAAATGCATATTGAAGCTACGTGAGTTACCATGATTTTGCAAAAACTAACAGTATTCCGTGTTAGCAGGAGGATGAGGAGGCCAGTTCGCCACCAGACTTGAGCAGTACTTTAATTGGGAAGACAATTTGGCAACACCAATAAAAAAAATAAAAAATAAGCATATGTTTAGATGCAACATTCCATTTCTAATCATTTATTTTGGAAAAATACTTCAATGGGGACACAAAGACAGATGTATGAGGCCATTTATTAATTTTTAAATTAGTTGTATAAGCAAAAAATTGGAAGCAACAGAAATGCCCAGCAGCAGAACATGGGTTAAAAGAAAATCACGGTAAGTTCAGGTAATAACATGCTACACTGCCATTTTGGAAACTTGAGGCCAGCCCATGGGTGCTAACACAAAACCGTGTCTAGAACACATTAATCAAAAAAATTCACCAACTTTTTTAAAGCTAGGCTTACCCTATGATCTGCAATTCCACTTCCAGATTTTCACCCAAAAGAAGTGAGTACATATATTGACAAAATGACTCAGACATGAGTATTTATAGTAGCTTTATTCATCATATGCCCAAGTTGGAAACAACTCAAACGCTGATCAAGAGGAGGGTTGGGAAAAAGTTGTAGTATATTCAAACGATGGATTCTGCACAGCAATTAAAAATGATGAACTACTACACGCAATACAGTAGATGAATCTTAAAAACGTTTTATCAAATAAAAGAAACCCCACATAAAAGAGTATATACTCTATGATTTAACTTACATGAATTCAAGAACAGACAAATCTAATCAATGGAGAGAGAAGTCAGAGTGGTGGTTACCTCTGGGGAGGGGTTGGCATGAATCGAGAAGGGCACAGGAAACTTTCTGGAGGGAATGGAAATATTTTCTATCTTGACCTGGGTGGTGATTACACTATTAAAATTCATCCAGCTATATATTTAGGGCTTATGCCTTTTACTGCATGAAAATTATCCCTCAATTTTGAGAAAGCATGCTTGTTTATATAAGCTGTAGGGAAAAGAAAAAACTCTGCAAGAACATATAACTACTTGGGTGAGTAGAACCAGGGAGTAAAGGGACTTTCCAATGTTTACTAATTTTTAATTCATGGTTTTTTGTTGTGTGTGTGTGTTTTTTTTTTTTTTTAGAAACAGGGTCTCACTCTGTTGCCCAGGCTGGAGTGCAATGGCCCGATCATAGCTCATTTTAACTGAATTCTTGGGCTCAAGTGATCCCCCTGCCTCAGCTCACACAGAGCTAATTTTTTTATTTTTTTCTAGAAATGAAGTCTTGCTCTGTTGCCCAGGCTGGTCTCAAACTCCTGGCCTTAAGTGATCCTCCTGCCTCAGCTTCCCAAAGTACTGGGATTATGGGCATGAGCCAGCACACCTGGCCCAATTTTTGTTTTCTATACTTTTGTAGTGATTGAATTTAGGCCATTAAAAAATTTTTTAAAACCATTTTCAAGGCAAGTTTCTGAGAATAGCAGCTGAGCGGAAGTGAAGAACCATTTGTCCGGGAGAGTCTAATTTATTCTGATTACATTTTATGGCGCATGTGGGGCTTGGGGCCCTCGAGCTGTGATTACTCAGCTCGCCTCTGCTCCTGCTGCTCCAGGCCCAGCAGCCTGCAAGCCTTCTTTTTACCTTTTCTCATCAGCTAGGATTGAAAGTCTCCCTCCCTGACCTCGCTCCTGGCCTTATTTCTCTTCCTCTCTTATCTCATCCCTCAGGTGCCTCATCGCATTCTTGGGCGTCTTCTTAATCACACGTAACAGGAAGAAGGCCATTCCATTTGAGCCCTATATCTCCATGGATGCCATGCCAGGTAACGTTAAATCCCCATGGGTCCAACTGACTGTCCATATAGAATGACTGCTACTTCCTGTTTAAAAAGACAACCAGCTGCTGTGCTATTGGGTGTGACTGTGCTCTCACCATCTTTTTTTTTGTTTGTGTTTTGAATCCCATGCGATAGAGTAGGCAATGGCTGAGGCTCCTCAGCTGGTTTTGAGCACATCTTGTCAGTTCCTGTGTCTATTTCAGGACCTTATAAAGGAAATCCTGACTCACGCTGGATATAATTATGACCCGCGGCACCAGGCTTCATGCCTGCCAATGGAAAAATCCGTTCATCCAGTCGGAACAGAATGATCAGAGAGGGGAAGAAAAATAGGATGAATGAAATTAAAACACTACAAACCTCACTCCCTGGATTCCACAAGGGAGAGGATTGTTCTGGAAAGTCTAATTTCCCAGGGAGCTAAAGGTTCATAGTAAGAAGCACAAACTTAGGTGCGTTTAAGCCTGACAGTAACATAAACATGTGAATCAGCCAAATACTGTGCAGTAGGGAGTAGTGGGGCCTGCAGAGAACCGCAGCGTGCTTGTCTGGCCTCAAGGGATGCAGAATAGAAAAGTTAAGACGTTGGACCAGCCGCACTTAGATTTGCTGACCTAAATTCTGTAGGTTGTCAGTGACCATTACCTTTCACATATTAACTCAAAATTAATTTTTATTTTAAAAATATAAGAATGCTCTCCAAAATGTAATCTCCCATCCTTCATGAACACAATTCAATGAACAAAATACAAATGCAGTGATGGCCTCGAGTACTGCTAACCAAGAGCGGTTTTCGTGCTGGCACGCTGTGATGCAGGTGTGTTCTCAGGGATGACTGAGGTGCTCCTACATTAAATGGCCCCAGGGTTTATGTGTCTACTTTTATATTATTTCCTCATCTCTTGCCATTGAGCTGTTGTCTGTCATTCTTGCTGTTACCAGCCTGCCTGAGCATAGCAACTCCATGTCCGTCTTATTTAACCCAACTTGTCCAAATTAACGTATGAAATCAAAACGAATGAGCTCTGAGTTGGGACCTAAGGTTTCTCCTCAGAGTTAAGTGCATGAGCTTTAGTGCATGGACTTTTTAAACATCTAATCTGGCTGCTCAGATGCCTTTTTTGCTTACTTCCTTGTTTCTCGGCTGTGTTCCGGATAGATGAGGGCGCTGGATAGCTGAATTCCAGATAGGTGAGGTGTCAACTCTGTGTGTGCAAGTATGTGTATGTATATGTGTTTGTGCATTTATAAACTACGTATGTGTATATATCTATATAAATATTGTATACACATATATACACATGTATTTTCTGGTGCAAAATAGAAGGTAATCTTAGACATCAACATTCTGTGGTCTGTTTTGGGGTGTGGCTCTCAGCTTTCTCTTTGTTCCTTTAGACCAGTGGGAAGCCAGATGTTGAAAGGAGACCCTGTCCCACTGCGGTAGCTTAAGATTAAATGTGTTCTGTACCGCACGGAACCTGGGCTTGGGATTTAGGTGGCCTGGATTCAGATCCCAGCTCTGCCACCTACATGCTGTGTGACCTCCCAAGGCCTCCCATGCTGACTTGTAAATTGGGATTCCTCCTTTCTGGGTAGTGGGATTGTATGTGTAAAGGCCTCTTACACAGTGCCTGGGACATGGTAGATGCCTGGTTATATTTGGTTTCACTTCCCTTTTGCTTTAAAAAGTTTGGAAAATTTGAAACCCTTGTTTGGTGCCAGGTAGAACATGCAGAATAAAACTGCTTGGCAGTCTCAGCTTAAACAGAGATGATTTTCTAGCCAGTTGGTTTCCCTGGTCGGTCAGCATCAGGACCCTGTCTTTTGTCTACTTAGACTGGTATCTTCACAATAGTTCAGTAGCTGCTATTCAAGAAGTATTCAAATTCCAAAATTCACTATGTCTCACAATTTGCAGAGGCTTTAAGTAATTCAAACACCTGAAAGACTTCTTAAAAATGAGAGAGAAGAAACAGCCCCTAGCCTCCAGGAGCTGGCCTGACACTCACAGCTGGGCCTTGGCCTTCTGTGGGACATAAACAATTTCACAGAACGTCAGCAGCAGACAAGGCCGCTCTGTGACCGTGAAGGATCGGGACACAAACAGGACCACCGTTACCATGTCTGAACACAGATAAAACATGAACATTGTCTAAGCCACAAAAAAGCCAACCGTCCCCCTCGTACCTTGGCTAATATGAAAGACCGCTGCCACTTTACCAGTCACATTTTTAGCCTCGATCTCCTCGTCTTATAGATAAGAATTATTAAGGTCCCCAATTACAGAATCATCCCTGCTTCCCAACAGCATCTAATCCAAAGCAAAGCCTCACTTCCTTGAACCCTCCCCCAAATCACCCAACCCAAACCCAAATCCCGTAAGTGCTTTCTAACACCGTCTGACTCAGGTACCTCCCGGTTCCCGTGGTGTACCTCTCTCGCGTTGCAATGCCTCAGTAAACCCAAACTGTTAGACTGTAGGTGTATTCTATTGGCTTTGGCTGGAGGGCGTTGACAAAATCCAAAATCTAAGCCACGCCTGGTAAGCCAGCTCTCTTCCCTGAGAAACAGGCACCCCCGAGCTTCCCCTGTGCCCCCAAATCCACACCACAGACTTAAACTGTGCTCTTCAAAGGAGCATCAGCTAAGTCTTGTGCAGTACAGAGGCAAAGGCTTCCCCAGACCGGATCTTCCCAGGCCGTTCGCAGGGTGGGTAAGAGCACAGGCTCTGCTGTCAGAGCCCACCTCTGTCTCTCGTGAGCTGTGTAACCTTGGGCAAGTTACTTCACCTCTCTGAATCTCTATTTTCTTGCCTAGAGAATGAGGATAGTAGTTCATCTCTGTCAGGATTGTTTGGGGATTAAGTGCAGATGTTTAGGGAGGCCACATGGCGTTCGGTTAAGTGTGGACTTCCAAGGTTAAACCCACTGAGTGTGAACCCTGGCACTGCCACTTGCTACCTGTGTAATCTCAGGCAAGTTACTTAAACCTCCAACTGCCTCATTATCCTGATTAGTCCTCCTGAGGATCAAATGAGATAAAACTTTAGAACAGGGCCCGCCACCAAGTAAAGAGCACACGCTAGCCATTAGCTGTTGTTACTATTACTATTTAAAGTGCTTAGCCCCATGCCAGGGCATACTAAGCAGTCAGATGTCAGCTGTTATCATCATCATGGTTTCGTGAAGACACTTTGCATTCAATTTCTTATGACTCAGCCTGGGGGCAGGAGAATTTGAAGGGTTTTAAGTCCCTGGCAGGAAAAGAGTTGGCCTCAAAAATAACCAGGTCTCCCCACACTGCCGCCCCCACTGGGGGAATTGCAGGATAAGGGCAAAGACATTAAAGATGAAAGTCTTTGCTGTCAAATGTAAGTAGGAATCCAACATCAGTGTGCCTAGAAGTAATAAGCAAAATTGCACCTTACCCTATATGTGGACCAGGGATGTTAATGTTCAAGGTCAAAACTCTCCCTCTGGGCACCGTGATGCTTCTGTCACCTTCAGATGTCCATGATGCAAAAATTACCCTCTTTCCTCACCGGTGTAATGAAGTTGCCCGGATCCTGATTTAATTCAGCAGTGACGTGTTGGCATCTACCACGTTCAAAGCACAGTGGTAGTTCCATTCCACCCGGGGCCCAAACAGGCATTCCCACCTCATTCGAGGCCGGCTGAGGGTTCCTCTCGACAGTGGCTGGTCTGTGTGCATACTTCCTGAAGATTCATCCCTTGTTGCTTAGCAACTGTAATATTTCTAATGTATATCTATGGATGGTTCTCTTTTAAATGGAAAGCGTTCAGGAAGTTGACAGTGCACACAATTAGCTCCTGAGTACTGTGGTGGGACAGAGGGAGAATGCAGCCTTCTTGGCCCCCTTACCATGTAATGATTTGGGGAAAATGGGTTTCTTTTCAGGTATGCAGAACATGCATGACAAGGGGATGACTGTCCAGCCTGACCTCAAAGCTTCTTTTTCCTACGGGGCCCTGGAAAACAACGACAACATTTCAGAGATCTACACCCCTGCCACCCTGCCGGTCATGCAAGAGGAGCACGGCCCCAGAAGCACCTCTGGGGTTCCCTACCGAGTCCTGGAGCACACCAAGAAGGAATGAGGCTCACTCCCTTGATTTACAGCTGTTCAAGCGAGGCTGGCAGTGGCTCAACCCTTAGTTCTAAAACTTGCCTTTCAAGTCTCATGTTTTTAAACTGAGAACTGTATGGATAGCGATCTTAGAAAGTCTTTGTCTCTGGCGAAGGATACGTTATCTTGGTCTTGGAAATTTCAAATGATGGGGGTGAGGGTGAGGGGATAAAAGGGTATTCCAGGTGGGAGGTATGGAATTCAGCCTCTGCCCGGTTTAGCCCAGTGGGATTTGGAAGCCACCTTACCATCGGCAGGATGGGAACTGAGCTCCCTCAGTCCGTGGCCAAAGGTTGCCCCATTCTTCAGGAGCTAAGGCAAGGCAGAGATTCCTCTTACTTCTCAGATCCAGTGAAAGGCTGGAGACCTCTAAATCTGTCTTCCTTCACTTCACGTGCATGCCTGATCTCTGCCCGCCTCACTCATGACGCTAGGTGTGTGATAACATTCACAATTGTCCTCATGTGGCTCAGTGGGCCAACCCTGAGCCAGACTTCACTCTCGTGCAGGAAACATACATCTGCCTTCCAGTTGTCTCTGTCCTTCCAACGAAGACATGCTCGACGTGTTTATATTGGATCTGCTCTGAAAACTAATTAGGTTTGGGGCCTGTGAGCACTACTTGATGATTTTTCCCCCCAGAAGAACAGGGTAGTTAAGGGGAAGATTGAGGAGGATAGGAGCAAGGGGGAGGTTACTGCAGCCGGTAAAGGGAGAAGAATCCCTCTTAATCTTGCAAAAGGTGATTGCACCACTTGAAAAAGGACAGGCAGAACAGCTGGCTGTGTGATGGGTTATTTTTTCCCCTGCATACACGTGCCCCCGGGCAGGCTGGGGGTACTCATTTCAGAGACAGCCTCTCACACATCTCCACACTCTCCTTGACAAAGTCTCAACCCCGCTGGAGTTATTGGTCAGTTTCCTTGCAATCAGTAGGGACTCTCTGGGTCTTCATCTCCGTGCACACGTGTCTGGGAGAAACGACCATTCTCAAGAACGGGCTCTTTCTTTCTTTCTGTACATGACTGTCTTCCCCTAGGCTCACTGTGTACTTTAGAGAGTGGCAGGTGAAGGTTCGCACACCTTAATGAGCATAAGGACCTCCTAGGAGTTTATGTAAAGTGCAGATTCCTACACCCCAACTGCAGATACCCTGATTAAATGGAACTACATTCTTAACTGGCACCACCGGTGCTTCTGATGCCAGTAATCCAGAGGCCCCACACCTGGAAAGCCTAATAATGGAAAATAAAAAAAGGTCTGCTAAAACCCCCAGGGCCTCATGCCCCCCTGTTAGGAGGTTAGAGTTACCGGTTGTTTCCTCTCTGGGGTTCTTTTTGGCAGGTGGAATAATCCCCATAGGATCTGTGGCATTTCTCCATCTAGTGACTACTTGTTAGAACTGCACTCACTGCTTCCCTAGACAGCCTTCAACAGGCAAGACAACAGTGTTAATAGACCAGTGTTGATAGCTCATTTATCTTTATGGATTGTGCTTCATACTGATTTAGTACCTTGACTTCAGAAACTCCGACATTTGTTGCCTGTGATAACCACTTCTGTATTGTGTCTTGACCACTTCTGTATTGTGTCTTTAATGCCTAAGAAGGCAACAGACAGTAACCTTTTTTTCACCTTAGGGTGGGTATCAACTCAACAATATTTATAAGGCATTTATTTACTATGTGTTAAGCACTTGGAGGGCCAAAGCTACAAAGATATGACATAGTTCCTGCCCTCCAGGCCAGCAGGGGAGACACAAATACCCAGGAACCTCTCACAGGGCGGGCCATGATAGGTTAAGTGCAATAGTGGGCCACAGAAAATGAGTCATGGTTGCCCCGCTAAAGGTCATGCCCTGAGCCTAAAGGGCCATTCAGAACTGGTGGTGATTTGGGCTCCACTCATAGATGGGTAGCAAATCTAGCTAAGATCTGAGCAAAGCATAGAAAGTAGGGTGATCACCCCCCAGGCAGAGGAGCCAGCATTTTCAAAGGCACAGAGATGAGGAGTGGAGGTTGGCAAAAAAAAAAAAAGCACCAGGGAAGGTGGTGGGAGACAGGCCTTGAAAGATAAGTAGTGCAGGCCAAATCATGGGGGTCTTGAATACCTGGCTGAGGAGTGTAAATCGTATCCTAGAGGGCATGGGAGCCATTGATAGTTCATGAGGAAGAGAATGGCAGGACCAGCACTTATTGGAAAGGAAGGCTTGTTCAGTGTAGAGGAAGAATCAGAAGTGGTAATAAGTTACTTTTCAAGGTCAAGCTCTGAGCCTGCAAGAATAGAACAGAAAGGAGGAAGTAAAATCAGGTTTTGCTGCTATTCAGGTATTCCTCATTTCCCAAGTGATGTTTCTAAGGCTAGGGGGAGGGCTATTGAGATGTGGCAGACCTAGGTGATCAGTAATTCTGGCATGTGTGCTCCCGGACTCACTCTGCCCCTCCTTCCCTTTTATGTTATGGGCCTTTTAGCGCTGGGCCAGCCAGCTTTCTTGAGATGAGTGGATTAAAGTACACTGTAATTTCAGGTCTGCTGCAGACCTTGGGGACAGCGCCACCCAGGAACTGCTGCTGGGGCCTGGACAGCTCCCCTGCCTTCAGTTTTAGGGCAGTGGCATCATTCCCCAGAGCTGAGCCATGAGAGGGCTGAGCAGAAAATTATAGGGTGGTTTCCTGAGTGGGAGTCAAGGGTCGGTCACCTGAGTAATGGGAAGAACAGGTGGTGTGGATCCCTCATCTCCAGGGATCTGGATCTGTCCTGAGCTAGCTTCTCCCAGTCTTTGTCCCTAGGGGTAAACAGAGCGTTTGCTGGTGGCAGTAAGCAGCACTGACTGTCGGGATGGGGAAGATGAACATCAGGTTTCCACTCACAACCCTGATTCTTTATTTTTACTCATGGCTCTGACACCCCCAAGCTCTCTTGGATGCTCTAAGCAACATTAAATATCACACCTGCATCTCCTTCCTAGCCAGGTGCCTAAAGCAAGCTCACCAAACTTGGGTTTAAACCTCAGTTGCCATCACATCAAGCTTCAAGTTCATGCAGGGTTTTTGCAGTGTGGAGTTGAACGCTGGGTGGCGAAGAGAGGGCTGATGTCTGCATTGCTTTCCTGGTGGAAACCAGCCAGCTTAATGGTCCGGTGTGGATACAGGACGGCCATCAGGGTAGCACTGGGGAACCCGCCCTGCAGCCTTGCGAATTCCAAATCCAGTCCAACACTGGCTGATAGGCAAAAAAGTTACTTCTGTGTTCTCTGAGAAGCTGTGTAAATGAAGTCACCTTAGAATATATTCTATGTGGATGCTTATATTTTGTTAACTTCATGACTAATGTGGCATGTCTTATTTTTCAAAAAAAAGTGTACTATGTGCAAATAACATCATGAAGTGGTATTTAATTAAAAAAAATCCACACAGTACCTGCTGAGTTTGTGTTTTATGTTTGGCTAATACTTTCTAAAATTCTCTAGAACAATGTGCTGTCTAATAGAACTTTCTGATGATGGAAATAGCCTGTGTCTGTTTTGCTCGGTATGGTAACCACGATCCACATGTGGCTGTTGAGTGCTTTAAATATGGCTAGTGTGACGGAGGAACTGAATTTTTAATTTCACTTACGTTTAATTAACTTAGACTTAAATATCCATGCATAGCCAGTGGCTGCTGTATTAACAGTACAGATCTAGAGATACCCATAATTGCAGCTGGGGCTGAATTGAGCTTTTTTTCTTCCCTTGCAGTGGTTAAAAGCATAGACTCTCTGGCTACACGGATTCGATTTGATTCCTGGCTCTACCACTTATTAACTGTGTGGCATTGGACAAGTTACTTAACCTCTCTGTGCCTCATCTATGGAATAGGAATAATACAGTATCTACCTAAAGGTTATTGTGAGGATCAGATGAGTTAACAGATATAAAGTCTTGGAACTATGTCTAGCATCTCATCAGAATATTATATTGAAGCAATCGTTTTCCTCTTGATTCATTTTTAAATTATGTAATGAACACTTGTGATTTTTCTTAAGCAATTCTGAGCACACGTGTCTGCAGAGTTTGCAATTTACAAAGGCAGGTGTGGTATAGTGCCTATATATTTATACATAGCCACCACACAAATGCAGTCATATATACTCATTTATTAAGCACTTATTATATGTCACATGACATAGTAAGACTTCATGTACATCTCATTTCTACTTTCTAACCATTCCATGAGGTAAGTTTTAATCTTATCCCTATTTTACGGATGAAGAAACTAAGACTCAGGTATCACAGTTGGTGAACAGCAGAGCCAATATTTGCGGCCAGGACTGCCTGACTCCAAAACCTGAGTTCTTCCCTGCGCTATGCTGCCTTTCCTGGTGTGTTTGGGTGAGACTTTATCTGGGGTAAGGTTT